AATATTTTCCTGGAGTTTTTGCTGCGCTCTGCACAAACAGGAGTGTTTGTGATTATCACTCTGCCCGACATGAATCCCCTTTTGAATAAAAAGGCAGGATGTAAAAGAATCAAACCATAAGAGACAGACTAACACAGCTAAGCTTTAGAGTTCTGCTGTGAATTTTCCAATCCGTCTCCTCCTTCCCTTTCTTTATGCAACTACAGGGAGTCCCTGGGCTAAGAACGCAGGGTTACGGACGACCCCTAGTTCAGAAAGAAGCCTACTGTAGCAAAATTCCACTTAAATACACAAAGGTTCAGGTTCATTACACAATACTACTTATACAGTATTTACAATAATACTGCTCCGGCTTACGTACAAATTCGGCTTAAGGGCAGACCTTAGGAACAGAACTCGTTCTTAAACTGGGGGCTACTTGTATCTGTCGTTGAGGCTCAGCCTGCTAAACTAAGGCACGGAAGGAGCCATCCCAGTGTTTGGAAGCTTTACATAATATCACACTGCTTCTCTGTGCAGTTTAAGCGGCGATTTCTATGTACATTTTGAGCATTATATTTGAAAGGGAAACCAAAGAGGAAACCGAATTGGACTGTTGCTTCTGTATGAGAGAAGCTGCTGCGCCTGCATGAAATCCATTTTGGAATAGATTAAATAAGATAGTAAGCCAAGCTGTAACCAAATTGTTGGTTTGTTGACATAATATTACACACTTCAGAATAGCCTCCCATTTTCGCTGTGCTGAGTCTATGAGACACTTTTAACACGCAGCAGCTCTTCAGTTACGGTGTTATTGCGATTTACTGTATGTTCCCATTTATATATTTTAGTTTAAAGCACTGAATGTCTGATTTTATCAGAGAGAGCTGGGAGTGGTAGCCCTATACACAGGAAAGGCACCAGTCAAGGAAAGACTGTTTATGTCGAGTTGTATTCTACTAATGTTTTTTTAGGTGCTGTTCTCTGTGCCTGCTTGTTAGGAAGAGCTGCAGTCAGATAAATGTTTGTATCCAACTTAGTCAATACTAGCTGAAGCCATTCGCTATTCCTAATTAGCATTTCTTACCCTGAAATTGACTCTGTTTCTGACCCGCTGTGCCAACGCAGCGTTGATAGCTTTGTCAAACTGCAGTAGGACTTGAAGAGCAAGCTGAGGAGTGATCTGCTGAGACTGAAAGATTGGTGGGAAGAGAATAAAGGAGAAACTTTAAACTCCAAGGAAGATTTTCATTCCAGAGATAAACATTCATCTGTCTAAAATTAGAACTTTCTGTTTGGATTTTCACACATTGATTATTGTTGCCCGTCGGCCCATACCTAATACAGCCAAAATGTTTACAGTACAGATTAGAACTTCCTGTTTAAGATTTCAATCAACGTGACTTGACTAGTTATTTCTCATTCCCTTGAACCACAAATGCAGAACTTGAATGATGCTTAAATCAATATGCATGTGGCTTTGCCCATTTACAACTTCACTAAGCTAGCCAATGTTGTGCATCGGAGTGCAAACCTCAGTTTTTCAGTTTGAGAAGCTGGAAAGTTACGTCTTCCTTTGTGAAACCTCTCCTGTCATCACAGACATCTTAACCTTTGCTTTGGTCTCCAGTTATGATACAGTGGAAAGGCTGGGAAGAGCAAGCACTGTATCACATCTTTACCTAGGCAATATTCATTGCTTTGAACTTCGACTGCAAAATAAATAAGTACCTACTTCAGTTATGTTTATACTACTTAAACAATTTATTCAGACAGATCAGAATAAAAAGCAGCTATATCCTACCTGAATGAGCTCATCCAGGCTTTCTTGAAGACTGTTTCCCAGGGTGGTGTTTCTATACAGTTGGTAAGCCATGGCTCAAGAGAACAAGAAAGCAGATGCTGGTCATCCACAAATCTGAAACCACCCAACTTTCACTGAAGACCTAGGAAATCCAGATAACAGTTATACTGGCTGAGGGAAGGGTAACGCACATAAGAGAGAGTGGGGTAATAGAGCTTCCAACCAGTTCAAGACCAGCATTGCTGCACAGTCTCCCTGTTTCTCACAAAACTCACATAATTACAATAAAACAGCACAAAAAACCCAAACCCCATTTAGCTTGCCTGTAGATTAAATCCTGCCTCTACCCTGCTCTTCAAATTACAGTCAAGTAAAACATGGGTGTATATCTAGCAATGCTCAAGCAAACAATTTTTTTGCTATATGTAAGAACATGCGACAGTATCACAAATTCTTTGGATGTGTCATAATCATACAGACTATCTGAAAGCAAAAACAACTCACAAGAAATAATTATTCTTGGAAATGCCTATACGGCTTTTATTTTGTGGAAGTTCCCACAAGGGATTACATAAGAAGCACAGTGTGCAAATTATAACTAGCGTCTCTATTTCTTCAGTAAAGGTGATGGAAGTTGCAAACGTACGTTAACATGTATTTTCTATGCTAACACAGAAAATATACGTTAGTGAAAGTTTTGGCTTCCGTGGGAAATTAAGAGCGTACCACAATTAGAAAACAAGATGCGTCTGAAGCAGAACATTTCTCCCCCATGCTGGCTAACAAAGTAACGTGCCAGAAATATTAGGAAGGGCAAAAAGATAATACACAGGGCTTCCACTTTCGGCCCCTTAAATATCACCTTGATGCAAATGATTGCTTGAAACAAAGCAGCGAGGGAATTTTGCTCTGCTTAATTTTTGCAAGCCCTGCCAGAGACATCAGTGCGCCTGCATATGCTCTGGGGAGAAGCTGAGAAACTCCATTAAAATCCTGGTCCCAGCCTCAAAACACTCAGGGACCATTTTGCTAAGATTCAGAAGAGGGGTTTTATTTCTGATCTACCCACATCCAGGAGAGAAGCAAAGCGCCTCTTGATTTGTCATGCTTGACTTCTGAGGGTCACAAAGAAGCTGAAGCGGAAGACAAAGAAACGCAGCAGAAAGAGCTGCTGGTGATTCTTGCAAGCGACATTTGGATGCATCTCCATCACCAGCCCCAAAGCTCCTGCTGCAGAGAGGCTTGGCCCCCACTGTTGACCACTTCCGCCACCTTTTTTGAACACGCGCATGCATGGAGACACGTGCCACACATGCACGCTCCTCCTTCAGATGCATTTCTGGCTATAAGAAGATGCCAGGCCTCAGCTTTGCAGGTCGGGGGTTGCCACCAGCCCCAACTGCTTTCTAGGGGTCCCAAAGCTTGGCTCCCACTGTTGGCCCCCTCCACCACCTCTCTTGTGCACACGCAGGCAATTACACACCTGCTTGCATGAACACACAAACACGCACTTTCTTCAGATGCATTTCTGATTACATAACACCCCTTTCCTTGACTTTGCACCAGCCTCAAAGCTCCTGCTGCAGAGATGTCCCCCCCCACACACACACACACAGAGGACCGCTGGCAACTCCTGCAAGCGACATTTGGATGCGTCTGTGGCTATAGAAGACTCCATTCCTTGGCTTTGCAGGCCAGCTGTCCCCACCGGCCCCAACTGCCTTCGAGGGGCCCCGAAGCTTGCGTTGCAGAGAGGCTTGGCCCCCCGTTGGCCGCCGCCGGCACCTCCTTCGAGCATGCGTGCGTGTGCACGTGCACGCTTCTTCAGACGCCTCTCGGGTTGTGGGAAGACGCCGCGCCTCGGCCTTGCAGGGCAGATACGCCCACAGCCCACCCCCGGCGCGCGCCGCCGCCTCCTTCGGGCACGCGCAGCGAACC